GAACCCCACAGGGGGGGGGGGGGGGGGGGGGGTGTGGGGGGTGTGTGTCTGCGTGTCTGTGTGTGGAGGGATCCATACTGTACATATCACACGTATCTATACATTGTACATATACTCCCACTAGTAGACCTCCATCCTGCTCAGCTAGAAAGCAGAGCAGGATGGGGCTGTTGGTGCTGTTTTGTGTTCTTGTGAGTGCTCTGTGTGTCTGCATTTTATATATATATATAAGCACAAGTATGTTGCGTATAGGTGTGCTGCATGTGCATGTAAGTACTGGGAATACAGGCACAGTCTTGCCACTTGTCAGATCTGTGGTCATGAAGCTGCAGCAGCCTTGCCTCTCTCAGACTGCTGAATCCAGCCCAATCCCTGTAACAAAATCCACCACCAGTAAAAATTTACCTGAGAACAATCAGCCTTGGCTATTTCCGTAGTAGCCTGGAGTACATCACGAAGAATGTCTCCATTTTCTTGGATCAGTAGGTAAGCCAGCAGCAGAAAAACATGGGCAGGGACTCGAGTTGTAACAGGCAGCAGTGATTTCACTGAAGATAACCAGTTAGTAACCGCAGACTTCTCTTTCATAAGCTCTATGATCTTACAGGTTGTATACAATGAGCTGTAAGAGCTGGTTATGGGGAAAAGGAGTTTGAAGGACACCTGAGAACAAGTGAAACAAACAAAATTCTCAATCAAACAAAATAAGGTACCATGAAAGAACAAAGAAAAAACATAACTAATCCAGCTCTATCATAAAAAAAAAAAATCCTTTTTTAGGGTCCCAATGCAATAAATTTAAAGAATAAATTGCAATACATTTCTTTACAATTCTTCATATTAATTCCTGCACTAAGGATGTTTGAGTGGGTTGCTAATTCCCTATTCAGGAGTTCCCCCTTTATTTGGCATCCATCATTCCTGTTCCTGCTGGTAATTCCTCACTAAAATGGACACAATAAAACTGGAGTACATTAAAAACTTCTGTTCCTGACAATCACAAATGCATCACAAACGTGCAAGTATCATCTACATTATTTTAAGGAAATTCTCTTAACTTCTGATAGTACTTAATAAAACACCACAGTTTAAGTTAAACAAAAAATGTAAAGTTGGATTAACTGTTTCACTTCTCAGAACAAAACGTTCTATAGTCATGAAAGATAACATTTAGAAGCAGAAAAGTAGTAAAATACAAATGAGGAATCCTCCTAACTCAGGTTTTTATATATGTAAAAGTATATATATTTTAAGGCTTCTGCAAATTAATGCGGAAGTTCAAAGTTTTTCATTAAAACAAAAAAGCTTAATGCAAGACAAACCATCTCTTTCCTACTAATTCTTTGTTTCCTTAGAAAATGCAACGTTTTCAGAAATGTCTTTCCATTATCAAGACAGTAGCTGGCAGGCAATAATTACATGAAGAACATTTATATAAAAATCAGGTCAAGAAAGTATTTGAAAAGATATCTGCAAATGAACATTAAAAATGGAATTCAGACTCCAGCAAGGCAGGCCCTACTCACCTTTAAATTACCAGGTAAAAAGAGATTTTGAGTGGCAGAAGCTGTCCTCCACAGAACTGCAGAATTTCATTTTAAACACATTGTTCAATGCCATGTAAATTTATTTTGGCTAATGAAAGGTAGAATACCCCTGTATTTTAGAAGACCTTTTAAAAATAATATTAAAATTAGCTTATCCCATTACTTATGTATTACAATTACTTTACGAGAAAAATTCAGCAATCTATAATGCCATCTCTCTGGCTGGCAAGATCACTGGGAGCCAGAAATTTCTTCTGAATACAGCTGTGAAACTGCCATTTATTGATAAAGGTATTTAAACTTTATCCAGGGACATACAGTGGGCTAAGAACAGCTTCAGGATCTCTAAGTTGTACTGTTTAGTTACCTGCCTCTACAAGACTGTAGGACTTGAAATCAACATCAGACTATTACAGGTTTGGTTTGTTGGTTTTTTTTAAATGCCAGGAAAAACTGCTAAAATTGGTAGAGCCTGAAATATTATATTGATATTTCCCATTCCACATTACTTCCCCAAAGGTTTTGTGTAGGGTTTGGCATTCGGAAGATCTCGCGATGTCACAGAAAGTTAGAGGGTTAGTTGCAGCCTTATGATGTGTCTGTAATCCCGCCTACCCTTGTTAGTATAAAAGGAATTGACTGCGCAATAAAAGGCGGAAGTTGGCGCTCACACTGTGTGTGTTATCTGTCTCTTTCCCTGGTCTGGGGGGTGATCAGTGATCTAATCGTGGCACCTTGATATGCGGCGAACGCTACAGTTTTGCTACACAATTTTACTCACTCCCTTCTCCCTTTATTTCAGCTGCATGAAAACAACCTATCACCATATTTTTACTTTAATGCTGCACCCCATTCAAGCAGGTTAGGTAGAAAATTTCAGTCTGCCATCACAGAAAGATAGATATAAAATCCCTCAATGGCAAAGTAGAAATGCAGGTTAGCCACATCCTAACATTTCTCAAAATCTTGGGACTACTAGTAGAACAATTCCCCGTTACCACCACTGCCAAGAAAAAAGCCACTGAAGAAAATACAGCTTTTGGGTGTGGTTAAAAATAAAAAATAAGCATACGGGCTATGGAAAGGCAGCCACCTGCCCACTGAGGACTACAAGAACCTTGGTAGGGCATGCAGAGGTGCAGACAGGAAGGTTAAGGCTCACCTAGAACTAAAATTGGCCAGAGACATCAAGAAGAAAGGGTTCTTCAGATATGTGAGGAGTAAGCAGGAGCACAGGGAAGACCTAGGCCCATTACTAAACAGGGCAGGGAAAATGGTTACAAATAATGCTGAGAAGGCAGAGGTGGTCAATACCTCCTTTCCTCCATCTGTACCAGCTCACAGGATCAAGCAGCTATAACAATGCACGTGTCGAACCACCAGTAGTGGCCCTCTGTAGGGGCTCAGCGCAGATAAATCAATGGGCCTGGAGTTAACCCAGGTGTTAACAGAAGTGGCTGACAGCCTTCTCCTGGACAAACTACCAAGATACAGACTGGATGGGTGGTCTGCAAAATGGGTAGGAAATGGTCTCACAGCCTGCACTCAGAGGGTGGTAATCAATGGTTTTTACTCAGGCTGGCAGCCTGTCACAAGTGGGGTCCCCCAGGGACTGAAAACACCCTGATCAAGTTTGCTGACGACACTAAACTGGGTGGTCAGGTGGACACGTCAGAAGGGAGAGCTGTCTTTCAGAGAGACCTGGACAGGCTGGAAGAATGGGCTAGCAAGAACTCTATGAAGTTCAACAAAGACGAGTGCAAAGTCCTGCAGCTGGGACAAAATAACCAAACAGGCTATGATCTGTGTGGCTGGGGAGCAGCCTTGCTGAAAGGGACCTGGGGGTCCTGGTGGACAACAAGCTGAACATGAGTCAGCAGTGTGCCACTGCAGCAACCAAGGCAAATTGGATCCTGAGCTGCATCACAGGCACATTATTAGCAGATGTGATCATCCCACTTTAATCACCGCTTGTCAGGCTGGACCTGGAGTACTGGGTCCAGTTCTGGTCCCCACAATTCAAAAAAAGATGCAGACAAGGGTCCAAAGGAGGGCCATGAAGATAATCAAAGGGCTGGACAACCTGTCCTGTAAGTTAGGGCTTTTAATCCTAGAGAAGAGAAGGCTCAAGGGGGACATCACCACAGTTTCCCAGTACCTGAAGGGCAGCTACTAAGAGAACAGAAGCTCTCTCTTCACAAGGAGCCACATGGAGAGGACAAAGGGCAACGGGTACAAGTGGTACTGGAAGAGGTTTCATCTTGATATAAGAAAGAAATTTTTTACAGTGAAAACAATCATTCACTGGAATAACCTCTACAGGGACATGGTAGAGTCCCCATCACTGGAGGTTTACAAGATGTGATCAGGCAGGGTGCTCGATAATCTCACCTAGGCTCCCTTTTCCACAAAAGGCTGGACCAGATGATCTTTCAAGGTCCCTTTCAACCCGGGCTGTGCTGTGGTTCTATGAAAATATACCATAACTTAATTACGTTTGCTCTTACATACTCTTATTCAAAGCTTACTCACTGAGGACATAACACTTCCTTTCTTTTTCCTACCTCTTTTCTTGGCCATTTCCACTGTGAGGAAAGTCTAAGTAAGGAAAATTCATCAAAGGTTGTATTGTCACAACAATGATCTGATCCTACCACACAAATGGACTGAACCCATGGGAACATTAAACAGAAAGTCTACATTTTTTAGTCTTTCAGTTGAGAACCAAAGGTTATTGGCATGCTTTTTACAAACAATAATGAGGCAAAATGAGCGTCTGTCTCCCTGTTCTCATTGCTAAACATGTAAACCGAAGATCTGCCATGCTACTTGCTATGAACTCCACAGGGATGTCTATCAGTGTGACAGAAGTGAAGAGACTGTTAGAGAATTCCCACCAAAAAGAAGTGTCTTTTCAGTATAATATGGCTAACGGAAAAAGTTAAAGTCATCACAAATTATTTAAGCCCTTAACACAAAAGCTTTCACATGCTTTTTGAAGCAAGGAGAATACCAGAATTAGTACAACAAAGCTTTGTTACAGAAAGCCAGTGTTATATCATGTACTGTAATCAGTGTCCCACAGTAAGCCACTAGTCTTGTAAGACATTAAACTAGCTTCTACAACACCACAGAAAAAAAAAGATGGGCCACTGACACAGAGCATAGAGGACTGAAGTACTTGGAACACCTCTCACTGAAACAAACCTCCAATGACATCTGTACAGGATGCCACCTAGAAAGTCCATTAAAAGGAAGTGAACAGCCTTCTGTACTTAAAGCCATCCCACAGAATATTATTTCAGAGCAGAATAAGGAGTGCAGGCTTTAGTGAACTTTAAAACATTTATCTTTCATTAGGAGTACAAATGGGCTTGCCTTTTCAGATTTATGGAAATGGAAGATGAAGTTGGGGAGGGATTCCAGGACAAGGAGACATGGCAGAACTCAGAATTGGTATCTTTTTCCGTCTCCAATTAGTCACATCACCACCCTCCCTACACCACATAACAGGGGTGTAAAGCAGGAAGGGAACTTAAGCATCTACAGTGCTAAGCACATTTTGATCAAAGAGACATACTGTCACCTCTTCTCAGAACAGATGAGACAAATGGTTGGGGGCAGCTACGTGTGACATAAGTAAATAAATAAAAACAAAAAAACCAACAGCACAAATAAAAAGATCCAGGATAATGAGCTCAAATTTGGTAAGTGACACTTACGTGCTCCGTAACTCTCTCCAGCCAAAGGAGAAAGAATGGTAGCTAACAGTCACATACAATGGTAGGGAAAAGGATATAGACGAGTAGAATAAGCAAGTCTGAAAGAGACTAAGTATACACAACCTTGTTTTCTACAAAGTCCTGTTACTTGATTAATGCAGGTGAATTCTTTAATCTATATGGTCTCTAAAAGTAAAAAAATCCCATCTCCTAAGTAAAACAGTATCTAGCATACCAACATACTTCTACTTTACCAGTAGTCTGGTTTTATGAACTATACATATTTTTGTTTCCATACAATGTATTACACAATGAAGATCACACATGTAGAGTCTTTCCCAAGCAGCTAGGTGTAATGCAGCAAAATTGTTAAATGCATCCCCTACCTGCCCCAAAAGAAGGAAAAAAACTTGTAACTTTACCAATTCCTTTTTATCCTTCACACCTTCCTCCTGTAATATTCCCAAAAGATTTACAGCCAGCTGCTGCCTGGTCGTTCCAGAATCATCATCTGATAGGCAGTCCCCAACTGCTGTAGAAGATAAGATCTGCAGCACAGGCATCACCAAAATAAGGGCTGTAGTTGAGATATTCTGGGTTTCTGAACAGCAAAGGAGCTTGTAGGCTATTTGAGACAAGGTGGGGAAAAACAAAGATCACGTAGGGAAAAAAGTATTAACATAATTTGTACTTTTAGGCATGATGCAAGCATTTCTAGGAAACACTCTGGTCAAGCAAAGTAACAGTCCCCAGAATTACAGGTGGTGCATACTAGAGTTAAAGTGCAAAAGATTTTTTGGTAAAACTCCGATTGTATTCAGAGACCCATACATTTCTGTTGTTTATAGTAAAGTACCTGATGGCAGCAAGAAATACAATAGTGGACCATAGCACTGTCCTTCACTCTTACTGGAAAAACTCCACTAATCAAAACTGCTAAGCCAAAAGCTCAGCCAAACATTGCCATGACTGTCAGGCCTGCCTCCTTAAGATATCAAAAGAAACCAGTCAGGATGCATGAAACTCAGATGAGAATACCCTGTTCTTGACTCAAAGAACCTCCAAGACAGCAGGGAGCTTAGAATACAGTAACATCCATGGAAAAAAGTCAGTGTAGCAGGAAAATTTACCTTTATTGCCATTAGATCAATTGTTACTTTTTAAATTCAGGAAAAATTCTGCTTATAAAAAAACATTTCATCACCCAATCCAACTTCAGGGGAATGCAGCACTTATTTTCATAAACATGAAGAAACAAAGACACAATCTTAAGAGCATGGATTCCTCTTTCACAAGAACAGCTTTACCTAGACTCAAGACAGATTTTTGCTGACTTTCTGGTGTTTGCAACAGTAGAAGCGCTAGCCCAATTATACATTGTTCCACTGGAAACACCTAAAAGAAAAAAAGAAAGAGGTTCAAGTCTTCTTTATTTTTCAGTGGCATTAAACAGTACAACTGGGCAACAACAAAAACTCTGTAAGGAGTTTCTTCATGATTCATAGTGAGTGCACACAGAGTGACACAGCACATGCAATGAAGAATGAGTAGTGTAAAAATAGTATTTTAACTGAATAACTACAACATTTTAATTTGTTACTTTGTTCAAACCATTTAATCTCAGTTTAAACCAACTCCCATACTAAAAGGTGAACTGATACATAAAGAACCAGTTAAGTTTTTGCCTTCTGAAGGTCTTTAATCAAGGAAAAAAAATAATTAGAAGCTTTTGAAACAACACTGGTCACTTGCAGATGAATGCCATGTATGAATGTCTCTAAATACGGTCTTAAACATGACATTGTTTAAAATTTAATACAACTATTTTATTTTCTCCCCATGAACTCTTACCTCTTTTAAGAGCTCAAAGTTGTCTTCTATTAAGGAGATCAAAGATGAGCATTCTCCTGTTGCATTTAAACACACTTCACAGAAGCATAACAGTTGCAGACAAAACTGGGATAACTGAACTTTCCAAAACACAGGATAGCGCAGTAGGCTGAGGAATAGCTCTTGCAGAAAAAACAAGGCTTCTGTAACTTGCAGTAAGTCTTTAAGCTGTAGAGAGGTAGTTAAACAAAACAAAACCAAAACGCATTCAGGTTTAGTTCCCCTTCCTTATCTATCCAGAATTCCCCAAGTTTAGAATTAGTTCTGTTAGCTCTGCAATACTTCCATTGCAAATGTTACTACGACTTTGAAGAAACACATTATAAACTAAACCCAGGAATCTCTCACCCAACTTCCCTGAAAATCAATAGATGAACTGCTATTTAATGTTTTGAAGTAAAATTAGAAACATATGAAAGGATAAAAAGATTTCTTGGTAGCTGATGAGAAAAATCCCTTCTTCCTCAAAAGCAACAGCAAATTAATTCAGCTCTTGGGGTTCTCTCAGCAACATAAAACAAATTGTGTGGAGATTTCATATAGCAGGTAAATATCCTTGTAATGGAAACATCCTGCTCTAGGATATTTCCTCTGTAATGTAACCAAGATTTTAACATATGTCTCAAAAGAGAAAGGCAGTGGTGTTATCTGCTTCAAGACCACCATGTAATCTACCTACCATAAAAATAAAAAGTTGAAGTGCAATACCCTAAAAAAGGTATGTCCATATTTGGAAGCCAAGTAAAGAGGTTTCAAGAAGCAGGCTGCCTCAAAATCCTAATATGTTAGATGAGAGCTCTTCTGCTCTTGAAAATTCTAGTTCCAGACAAAATCAGCTGTTCCAATCCAGACTCTGGAGCCAGCATTAAGGATAACAACCCTATTTTTAGTCCCTTGGAACTAATTCTATAAATAATCTGCTCTAATTGAAGCTTCATGTTCACTGAATTTTTCAGCAGAAAAGTCTGCAGGTGACAAGGTGTACTTCTGATAGCTTGGCTGATACTGTCAGACAAAATGACTACGAAGCATTTCAGCACTTAATGCAACAGAGGATTAAATAAGGCTAACGTTAAGGCTAAGAAGAACGTGAGGTTCAGAGAATGATGGGGAAGGAATGACAGATTATAGAACAGTCCAAACAGGCTTCTTGAAGGAAGTATTTCCCTTTCCATTTTGAAAGTAGTAACTCAGGCAAGACGAAAACATTCAAGTTTAAAAAAATGCAACAGATTTCTAGTAAAAAAAGGAAGTGCCAACAAGCATGGAGGAAAGAAAGGTTCATAACTGATTTTACAAGTCATCTTCAGCGCCATTTTTATGGCTAAATGTTACCAAGTCAAAAGCTTGGTCATACATTCAGGACAATGTTACACTGAAGTTCAGGTAGAATCAAGACAAAATCAGAAATGTCCCCGTGACTAGAAAAAGTTAGCATGTACTGCTCACCATGATGAGCAGATGTGAACAAAGACAAATGTGTCTCATATAAGCTATTGTTGTCCAAAAGATGGTGAAAAGCAGCTAGCAGTAGAAAGAAGACTTTACTAGTAAAATTCCTCAGGAGGAAAATGCTACCAAATAGCCTCATAACAAGCTTATTTAGCTTTACATTATCAATATTATCAAACACTCTCTCTATGGCAGTAATACTATAGCACCTCATGTTTGACTGAATATATTTGAAACTGAAGATGTTGCTCTAATATTAAAGAGGAAGGAAAATGTATATAGGTACAAAAAAGCTTAACCAATGTCACAATAGAGCATGAGGCAAAGCAGAGCTAGTAACCTTAACCAACACCTTAGACCCCTAACCAATGGGGACAGAAAGATTCAATCTCTAGCTCCTAGCAAGTTAAAAATACATTCAAAAATTTCAGCATATTCCAGAACAATTAAGTTTTGTCTTCAGATCCACTAATCCCTCTGCTATAAAGTGCATGAAAGGGTTATCTAGGAGTACTTAAATCATGCTTCTCATATAGTTTGTTTCATTTTAATACTCTCCATGTTAAAAATAGCATGTTTTTGACAAATAGCTTACCATTTAACAACATTGTCTCTCTCATGGGTATCTCTACAAGTTTACTGTATGTTTACTGAGGCAACTAGTGGCAAATAATCATGGTAAACGTGTTTCAATTTACAGCTTACCAGGTGTATCAAATGTGAACAATTAAAAAGTTTTACTTTCTACCAGAAAGAGCCAGTTTGTTAGATTTCTGTATTACCAACAAATCAGGTCTATAGGAAATGGAAGAGAACGCTTTATTTGTACACTTGAAAGGCGATAATAATAATACTATCATCGCTTTGATAGCATTTATTTGTAAAAGGTGGTGTCAGGCAACAACCGTACCTGAAGGCGTGGAATCAAATCACACAGAAGTTGAAGAATCTGGCATTCCAGCACAGAGGGTGCTTCTTTGTGCTTTGGACCATGAGGCTGAAGCAAGATCTTAAGTAAACCCATTCGCAGTTCAGCATATTCCCGTAACTGAGATGGTTCGCAATACAGGTATCTTAGAAAGGGAGCCATTAAGCCAACACATGAACTCTGTGCCCTGCAGTTCAAGAAATGTTTGCCAAGATTGTTTAACAAACAACAAGGAAAACCCAAGCAATGTGACATTCCCTGCAATAATGTACAGGATGCAATTAATACTAAGGTGTTATGAAAGGCATTACTAAATCTCACAAAAAACTTTGACTTATTAGCCCAAAGTACTGTCATAAGACCTTATATAGCTACCAGACAATGAAGTGCGATTGTGAAAAGACTCAATATTTAAGCATGAATACTAGTCAATATGTACTTGCAGATTATGACACTCTTAATTTTATTCTTTTTTTTTTTTCCTCATCAATTCAGGAAAGTGACTTTCCTTGCTGAATGTCATGAGAGACTAATGGGCCATTCTGAAGTAGCATTTGGACAAGACTATTCAGAAGTATCTTTTTAAAACACATAAAACTTAATTTCAGTGAAAGAGAGCCATCCATTCCTTGCCAGTTTTTGCCCAATGGTCTTAAACAATTACATGAAACAGGAACTGCTTTAACCAAGATGGCTCCCCAGTAAAAAATTTATCACAGAACAATTCTTTTGGCTTGACCATGTTAGGAATACCAGCTGTTCTTGACATTATTAAAATAACCTAATAAAGCTAATGATCAATACATTAACAAATATACAGGGAATCAAAAGTCAGTTTTAAACAAGACTCAGCCCTGATACAGAGCTTTACAGAGTATTCAATAGATCAACATATGTGGCACTTGTTGACATTGTGCTTAGTGACATGGTTCAGTGGTGGACTTGGCAGTGTTAGGTTAATGGTTGGACTCGATGTTCTTAAGGGTCTTTTCCAACCTAAATGATTCTATGATTCTATATTGTCAGTCTATAACTTTATTCCACAGAAACGTTTGCACAAAAAGCAGCAAAGGAAGTTTAGGGGATTTTCCTTTTCAGCAAGAACAACTCCTGTTTTAAATCAAAACAAGCTACCAGCAGAAAATCCACAGTTCATTCCATCATTCAGACACCTGGACAGGACTCTTCACGAGTCTCAAATTTAGCAGCTAAGTGGAAGAACAAGTTTGTAAACAGTATTTTAAAAATACTCTGATCAACTAAACTGAACAAAACACACTTTTGCTAGAAAGTCTTACTGTTGATCATGTAGTCTAGGCCCACGAGAAATTTAGGAGATTAATAAACTTACTTTTTAGTCAGAGCAACAGAATACAGAAATCAGTTTCACTGTACAATTACTCTGCTGGATTTCTATGAATCTTCCAGAAAACAGGAAAAAAGAAATACTTTTTATCTGAAAAGAATCATTGAAAACATTTGGCTTTAAGGCTGCTACAGCATTTGGTATCTTACACTGAAGGTTTATTGGAAAAATTCTTTGGAGATAAGCATGAAGAAATGTTGAAATCCTTGGTAGCTTGTGTATTTGTTCATTGTTAAAGATATTTTATCAGGCTGTCCCACTGATTTTTTTTTTCTTTTTTTTTTTTAAAATCAATAAGCATCTTTTTTAAAGACCTCATCCTGTACTGTGAGATGTAATTGTCTGTGCTTTCCCTTCATCATCCCACTATTTTGTATAAATGAGTTATACCTGCATACTAGTCATCTTTTTTGACCAGTCAAAATCTTGACAAAACAAATAATCAAAATTGCTTATTTAAAAAAAAAACAACCTCCAAAGGTGCTATCGACTTTGCAGCAACTTTTCACATCCATAAAAATTATATCAACATGAAAGAGTAAAGAAAAAACCTATAAATATCAATTTTTGATGGATTATTCTAGTATTTTATTAATTTTTTTTTTAACCTTTAAATGGTGTCATTAAATTTTGTAATTCTCTTTTTCGAAAGACAGAATTCTTAATGCTCATTGCAGCTGCCTTCAGGAAATAAGTTACACTGGTATGATTCAGTTACCTACATGTGCTATTTTTTAATTATTAATTCATTTACCTCTCTGGACACTGATGGAAAAATACTGTTATCTGCTGCAGCAGAACTGGCCAGCAATCAGGTCTGTTTTCAAGGACACTGATTAATGGATGAGGACCGTTCCTGAAACACAAAGAAATCACACTTGGATCTATAATGCAGAAAGCGAGTGTGCAAAACAACTATCTTCAAATTAAAAGCAGCTGTAGAAATAGACAATTTAACTACCTTGTATTACCAACTCCCTTTACCAACTTTGCCAAGATTACTACACTGTCAAAGGAGAACATTTTATAGGAATTTCAGGAAATAAGATTGAAACAAAATCTCTATTTGAAAAGTCTTGGTCTGATTTTTTTTGTTTTTTAAATGTCTAAGGATCACTGCTCAAATGTGTGGCCTGATTTGAGCCACTGGTAGCAGCACTAAGCTTTAGTAGTGGGCTCCAAGTAATACCCACAGAAAAATTTGAAACACATGTCACGCTTCAGCACCTGAGACCAATCAAGGTGACCATCATCCCACTTGCTACTTTAAATCTGCTCCCAACTTGTTTTTCCTTCTTTTAGACAGTGAAAGAAGCAGGAAAGGAGAAAGGCTGACGACACCACCAGCCTAGGGACCTCCACTTTACTGCCAGCCCTCTGATAATGGTTGCATTTAAAAAGGTTACTGAGGCCTAGTAGTCACCTGTTCTTCTCAGATGAATCTATCACCAACATCTTCTGAACCTCCAAACTCAGTGACTGAAGGCCATCTACACCACCCAGAAGATGCGATGCTTGCATCAAACAGTGACTACCCTTGTACAATAGCAGGTGGAGGAAAAGCTGGGCAGGTGGGGAGCCTGAAGTATATGATTTGTTCTGTCAGAAGCAAACCCAAAGTTTTTTGACTACAGTAAGTTAGCGTAAGAAAGGAAAACAGAACATGAGTCTGAACATTACATTTCCTGGAAAGGTGGGAAATTGGAAAGAACTGGTGATGTGAAGGCAGGTTCATCACTACCACCATCACCTGCTTATGGAGTTTACCCACTGTCCTTGCTGTGACTGACACCATTACTCCCACCTGCCTGCTAAGTGTCCTTATTTCCCCCAGCTTCCTCTCCTGCTTCAGCCAACTACAAGCAGAGTAGTGTCAATTCGTCTCTGGGATACCAACAGCTTAACAGCAGACAAACAGATACTCCCCTGCTCTCAGAGCAGAAACAACTTTCCTAATAACAAGAAAGAAAAGTTGGAAGAGAAGAGTCTTGCTGATTCCCATAGAACTGCTAGACACATGTGAGAGAGCAGGGCTATATAAATACATGGAAAGGCAACAAACGCACGCACACCACACAAGACTGGCAGCCGCAGAGAGGGGCAGCATATATCTAGGAACTGCAGATGCTGCAGACCACTACCTTCAGTTTGGTTAACCATCTTTCCTGCTCACACGTCCAAAAAATCTGTGCTACACACCAGCTTTACCTATGCAGCATTAGATGATCTGAGACCGACCAACTGAAGCGGCACATCTCAAGAGAGAATGCCTCAGTTTCAGACACTAACTATGCCTTTTAAATAAAACAGTAATTAAGAATTGGGAAAAAAAAAAAAGAAAAGAAACAAGAGACGACAGCAGACACACCCCCACACCCACAACATAACATTACAGCTCCTTGCATGTGTTTACAGGCCAGCTGACTTTCATGCATGTGTACTGTCTATCTTGAAAATTTACTTGCCATCAACACAGCAAATAACGCTAATTTCTTGTCATAATACATAAATATGATGAAGTAAACATTCTTAGTAAGGTAATCTAAATAGTGGAAATAATTACAAAATCAGTAATAAAGCTGAAAAACCACAAATAGTGTCTGAGCAATAACATCAAGGAAAATCACCACCCATACAGGCTAACAGAACAGTGAGAAATTACAAAGCTACTGTACCTAAACACAGAAGGAAATTTAGCAACAGAACCTGACATCTTATGCCTGGCACCTCTTTAATGTAGCTTAAAAGACAGGAAATTTAACATATTGTATCTAAATCTTTATAAAAGTGTAATTAGTAGCTTTCAGCTTACTCTGTTAAAAAAAAACAAGTTAAATTTGGAGGTGATGTCGTGCTAAGATAATGAGACCATACGGAGGAAGAAGAATTAAAAATAAAGTAGCTGGATAAGCTTTTCAGGAGCAGATATTTAGCTTTCTGTCTGGATTAACTGAACAGCTTTTAAGCTAATGCTGTCTTAGCATTTAGAAAAAACACACTAACAAAAACTTACGGGAAAAACAAAAACGTAACAAATTCTGCTTCCAAACCACTCAGCAGCATAAAAGCATATAGTTTTCCACACTTACTGATCCATGTTCTAACAAACAGAACACTAGACGAGATTCTATTTGCAATTGTCAAAACCCACTCTGGAAAGCAGAGTTAAGTACCATTGCCTAATAGCTGTAGGGGGAAAAAAGAAAGCACGGGGTGGGGGATGTGGGTCGCAGTAGCTTTCAGTCTCAGTCCTAAAGTCTTTTGCAGGCTATGACTGGGAAAATTCCTGGAGTTACAGGTGCCATCTTACTTCACTGTTGTATCCAGCATAGAGAAAATCTACTTCAGCTCTCTGTGCAATGTGCTCCAGTGCTCACTGTGAAACATCTTTCCTTATATACAGTCAAAAACTCCTGGTTTTAAAATTATGCTCACCACCAATTGTTCTTCCACCAAGAACCAGGCTCTGCATTCTTGGTAACCTTCCTTTTTCACCTACCAAAGGTCTTGGGAGTCTGGGGAGGTCCCTGTTGAGTGGAAGCTAGCCAACATTATTCCTATCTACAAAAAGGGAGAGGGGGAAGACCCAGGAAACTACAGACCTCTTAGCGTAACCTCAGTTACTGGAAAAACGATGGACAAGATTATACTGGGTACTATTGCAAGGCATTTAAAGAATAATGCAATCATCAGGCAAAGTCAACGTGGGTTCACAAAGGGAAAGTCCTGTTTAACTAATTTGATATCCTTCTGTGGTAAGGTCACCCGCCTAGGGGGTGAAGGGAAGGCGGTGGATGTAGTTTTTTCTGGATTTTAGTACGGCTTTTGATACTGTCCCTCACAGCATCCTTCTGGACAAGTTGTCCAACTGTGGGATGAGCGGGTTCACGGTGCGCTGGGTGAAAAACTGGCTGAAAGGCAGAGCTCAAAGAGTCGTAGGGAATTGGGCTACACCTGGCTGGTGACCAGTCACCAGCAGTGTTCCTCAGGGTTCAATTCTAGGGCCAGAATAGGGTTCAATGTATTTATCAATGATCTGGATGCAGGAGTTGAATGCCCCATTAGCAAGTTTGCTGATGATACCAAACTGGGAGGTGCTGCTGACTCTCTTGAGGGACAAGAGGACTTGCAGAGGGATCTGGATAAGATCAGAGCATTGGACTACGATTAAGGAGATGAAATTTAGCAAGTCAAAATGCTGGATTCTGCATCTAGGACAAAGCAAGGCCGGGCACAAGTATAAACTGGGAGCGGAGTGGCTGGAGAGCAGCCCTGCAGAAAGGGATCTGGGGGTGCTGGCTGACAGCAGGCTCAATATGAGGCAGCACTGTGCCCTTGCAGCCAGGAGGGCAAACCGCATCCTTAGTTGCCTCAGACACAGTATAAGCAGATGGTCAAAAGAGGTGATTATCCCACTGTATTTAGCATTGTTGTGGCCTCACCTCGAGTACTGCCTGCAGTTCTGTGCCCCACAATTTAAGAAGGATGTGAAGGTCCTTGAATGCGTCCAGAGGAGGGCAACAAAGCTGGTGGAAGGCATGGACAGAAGGCATGTCCTGTGTGGAGTGGCTGAGGACTTCGGGCTCGTCTAGTTTGGAGAAAAGGAGGCTGAGGGGTGACCTCATTGCTCTCTGCAGCTTCCTGAGGAGAGGACATGGATTGGGAGGTGCTGATCTCTTCTCCCTGGCATCCAGTGGTAGGACATGTGGGACTGGTTCAAAGCTGCACCAGGGCAGGTTTAGACTGGACATTAGGAAGCATTTCTTTACCGAGAGGGTGGTCAAACACTGGAACAGGCTTCCTAGAGAGGTGGTGATGCCCCATGGCTGTCAGTGTTGGACATTTGGACAATGCCCTTAATAATATGCTTTAACCTGGTCAGCCCCGGAGTGGTAAGGCAGTCAGACTAGATGATGTAGGTCTCTTTCAACTGAAATAGTCTATTACATATGTTCTTCAGTCCTTAGGAAGGCTGCTGTTAGGTCCCCTCCAAGTGGTTTCTTCTCCAGCCTAAACATGCCTAATTCCCCCAGCAAACAGCAAGTGCTCCAGCCCTATAATCATCCTAGGTACCCTCCACCGAAGTGGCTCCAGTTTAGCACTTCTTTCTTGTACTAGGGGCCCCAAAAGCAGACATAGTACTCCAGATACCATCTGGTAAGTGCCAAGGAAAAAGCATAATCATTTCCCTCAATCTACAGATGCTATGCTCCTATTCTTCCCATCTTTCAAGTTAGTTATTAAAAATCTGGAGAAGTTTATTTATTCTCATGGCTGTCTCATGAAGGCCTAGAAAAACACATCTTTCTGTGTAAGCACAAGCTAACAAGGATGAGATTAAGGGATAGAGTCATTGAAGCCTAAGTACCTTCACTGAGAACAGAAATTTCATACAGCAAGAAATGTCAAGCTACCATACAAGAATCAGAGGTTGGTAACTGAAACTGGCAAATTCCAACTAAAAAAAAAGAGAATGTATTCACTCAGGAAGAATCAGTCACCAGAACAATTTATGAAGCTCAGAAGACAGCTGGGGGTTTGTTTGTTTGTTTGTCTGCTCCTCAAACAATTTTTCTTCCAAAGAGGTGTGTTTCTGTTCAGGCAAAGAAATAATTTGAAGACACAGAGACTTTCAGAAAGCTGGCTGATGTGATGGCTGCTTGAAGCCATGTTCAGAAAACTTAACTAAGAGCACAAAGTATGCATATATTACAAGTCTGGCCTTCACATTTGGGGCTAGAAGGTTGGCATTTCCAACATTCATTTCTCTAAAATTTGTTAACTTACATATGTGGTGTTCACATGTCCACCTTCCTTGATTCTGTAAGCATTTTACTAAAGTTACAGAGTCTTTTA